CCGCCCCGCCGCCGCCCGCTCCCCCCGGCCCGGCGCGCAGCCACCGGGGCTGCCCCGGCGAGCGGCGCTGCTGGGACGGGGCTGCGGGGCGCCGTGCCTTTGGAAAGGTTGTGGCGTGGGGCTCCGGGGTGAAGCCGGGGTCGCGGAAGAGCTGTAGGGATAAACCGGGTTCCTTTGTTTTAAGAGGGGGGAAAAAAAGAGAGTCCTCGGGCGCTCCTCGGAAACCCGGCGTCTTGGGACAGGGTATAAATGCGGCCTTTTGTTCCCATGCAAACCAGAAATAACAGCCCGGCTTTCCRAGTTTTGATCAACTCGTGACCGTCCCGCTGCGATGCGCTGTTGCTGGGTTCCGAATCCGGGGCTGGTGTTAATGCCAGGTTGCCAGATGTGAGCCCTCCCCGTGTGCGGGCATTGCTGCACATGGGATACTGCCCAGTCAATCAACACCACAGTGTGTCAATGGCAGAAGGGCATTAAAAGTACGTCCAGGAAACACTGAAATGTGTAAATATCGCATCACTAGGGACTGGGGTTGAGGTTGTTTGTAAATAAAATGAGAATGGAAAAGCCCTTCTGAAGGGTGCAAACATTCAAATTTCCTTCCAAMTGAAACTCCCGGTTGCTTATTTGCTTACAAAAATAAGAAAGAGGCCASAAGTGACAGTAATAGCACAATGAGGTACCCTCCTAGGGCTCCCATCCTGCAGGGATCCTGCAGGCATCCTGCAACAGACCCTTCGGCCTACGGAGCATCCCCAGTGAAGTGTTGGTGATGCAAATCCAGGAACCAACCCTTTTATGCCCCAGAAAGGCAGAAAACAGCAGAAACCCAAACTGTCTAATAAAAGATGCCAAGTCCTTAGGAGCTGTACCCAGAAGTACAGAAGCTGTCTGGATTACCATATGGACTTGCTTCCTAACGTGGCTGTCGTGGCAGATGCGTTGGTAGCCAGCTCCTAGTGACCCAGCAAATTCTGTTTCTGCAGGCTAATAATGTTAAGCGTGCCATTTTCAGAGTGGGAGGTTTAATTTGCAGCTTTGCCACGCTGTCTGAGCAGAGGAACCAAAKAGCAGAATAACCAGAGATCTGGGAGAGAAAGGGTTACTGTTGTGCTTGCACTGAAAATGAAGCTCAGGCTTTGGCACTTAAGCTTTAATTGCATCAAGACTGCCTTCAAGTGAGACTTGGAAAAGGAACAGAGGTCTTGATAAGAGTTCATAGAAAATATCAGTCTATTTGGTTTTTCTCTTAGGTGATTTGAGGACTGAAATGTCATCCACCGTAATATTGCTCAGCTTACCCAATATTTGTCACATTTGTCCTATTATAAGTCCTCACGGACAAGTCCATGAGTATTTGGAGCAAGCACAGTGGAGAGCAAGCACGTTTCTGCTTTGAAGTAAAGTCCAACATCTTTAAATTAGTGCAGGATAAAAATCATTTACTCGAATGCTTCAACAGATGTGTAACTAGAGAAATAAATCATAGCAAAACAAAAAAGGGCAAATTAAGAAATATAGGGCACAGACAGGAAAAAAAAACTGAATTTAAAAGGAAGCATTAAAGCTTGATCAAGATAGTTTTTCTAGATGGCAAGGGATATAGACCTCAGATTCACAACATTCCTATATGGACACATAATTTCCATCTTCAGATGAAGAGACAGAGATGAAAGCACTGGTATGATTCAGGTGAGTTCCTGAGACAGGTCAGGGACAAGCCTGGTTTCTTGGCTCTGAATACATTGCTTTTGCCAGTGGAACCTGTTGGAAGATAATTCAAGATGAATTTATGTGAATTCTTGTTATTTCCAGGCACTATGTGACTTTACAGCCTACGAGCCTAACAGGAGCACAAAAATGCCCTGCAAAAATGTTATCAGAGATTCACTAAACTCACATCCTCTTCTCAGAGCTCTCACAGAATATTGCATTAATGCATAGTAACAATAAAAATAGAAAAAGASCATGGAAATGACATTATAGCATTATAAGATTAATCCAATTCCAGTCAAATTAGATTATAATAAGAACTGTGTGTGCTGAAGACTATTAATGGGAGCCTGTGTTTCAAAAGCTTCATCACCTTTGCACATGTTCTCCTCCCTGACCCCAATAATAAAAATAGTGTTCACGAGAGAGCCCTTCTTCCAAGGAATTCACAAACACATTCTGGTCTTTTGGGGAAAACACTAGCCTCACTTCTGCATCAGTGGAGAAACTGAGGCTCATGCAGGACAGCTTTCTGCACAGAGGCAGCCAACCCTCCCTTGGGTTTGGCTCTGGCGCTTCAAGCTCACATGTGGGGCAGTGACTCCCTGTGGACATCTGCCCTTCCGTGTGGTTTATTCAGGCGGCTGAATGGAAATGAACACCACAGTCACCTCAAAGACAAAACCATTTCAAGCACAAGGTTACTGTGAAGCAGCTTTCCAGGAAGACAGATCTGGGCTGCCTTGTGCTCCCCGCACAACTGAGTCATTCAGAAGCAGCCGGATGATTTTGGTCGGGCCACGCGGTTGCTCTTTGGCAGTGGGGCGGCTAGAAGAGCTGCAGGCAGACGGGTGTGACTCAAGCCGTGCTGGTGATGCACTCCTTAGGTCACACCGCTGTCTTTCTCGGTGCTCCATCACTGCCAGCAGTGTGCTCGGACTCGCTTCCTTCCCCACAGCTCGCCGTGGCAGGCAGGGCTTAAGCCTGGGCGGCAGGAGGAGAAAATGATCCCCCGTGCCTCCGTGCTGATACCGAGTCACAGGCACTTCCCGTGATCCTGCCTTTCCCAGCAGAGGCACAACCGAAGGGTGTCTGAGCAAGAGGCCAGACTGGGCGGCTGCTGTCAGCCAAGAGCCGTGGGGAGATGCATCCCAAACCCCTGGCTTGCCAAAGGCTGCTGTAATACAACAGCTGTGACTGAGAGCTGCGTTCTTCACCCGAGGGAAGCACGGTGACATCAACATGCAGACTCTGAACATGCTGCTTGCCCCATGTGCACAGGCTTCCCGTGACCCGCAGATGAACAGTGGAGTTAAACTCTGGGCTGGCCCTCAGAGAAAAGAGATTTGGCAGAAATGCAATCTGTGTAAGTTATGAAATAAGAATCCTGGTCTTTTTTCAGGACAAAACACTGCCCACCCTCAAGTTCTGGAYGCAGTGGGGATTTACCTCACTCCTCTGATTAGCAGGTATGAGAGGGAACAAGGCACAAAACAGATTTGAAACCTTTAGATTTTGGAGCAGGCACTACTAACCTGGGTGCTAATGCCAACAAGCTATAGCAAAAAAAGGAACTTGACAGAGCAAGGCTGGTGCCTGTCTTGTTTTCAGTAAGTCAGGAGATTTCTGACTCCTCTACAAGTCAAGAGGGATGATTTCCTTCCTGAAGGAGAGG